TCTTCCTAATTAACCCGTTAAAACGATACAGTGCCTGTACCCCCTTCCGCGCTGATAGTTCTTGATTTAGCTTTCTAGGCTTTCCAAGTTGGTGTGTTGTTGTTGTTGTGGCTTTTAAAGATACCTTGTGTTGACGTTAGATCTTTTTGGGGGGGGTTCCCTCCTTCTAAAGTCTTCTCATTTGTCCTCCCCCTCCCAAGTCCTCCTGGTGGGAGGCAGGCACTCATTACGAAGCAGCACCTGAGCCTCTCAGATGGTGTGGCACAAACACGCACCGCGCTGGCATTTCTCTACAACCCAGGTAATCTGGGGAGCGAGTTCGCAATTCCCCGGAGAAGAGCTCGCTCCATTCTTTTGAGTCTCCGAAGAGCAGCTTAAATTTCCCTCCTGCGAGGATTGAATAAAGCGGCGTAAATGAACCCCCCCCCGTGTTGTTCAATTTTCTCTCCTCCTGGCCGGCTGCCCGTTTTGTCTCTTTAACAAAGCATCTGGATGGATTTGCAGCTGTTGCCGCTGCACCTTAGGCCCTAGTCTCGGTTTTCCGGCAGGTGACAGGTGTCAAACAATGGGATTTTGCTTACCTGTAGTTTTCTTAGCCACAGGTAAAGGTAGGCCCGGGATGAAAAGCGGACGCTGGGCTGGGATGCTCGGCTGAGGAAAAAAAAAAGTGTAACCGATGCAAAGAGCCCGTTCTTAAGAATCCCCTTGCCTGATTTTTCTCCCTGCTGTTATTAATTGTGTACACGTTTTACTCGACACAGATAGTCCGGTTTGTTTCGTGGCCATTAAAAGTTACAACGGCACTGAAAAATGTGGCTTACGGGCCGTTTTTCACAGGTTACTGTCAGAAGGCGATTCTCTAGCCTGGGATCCCCGCTGACCGGTGCAAAATCCATCAGGGATGTGATGCAGAAGGTGGCTCTCAACTTTTAAATCGCCACCTTCTCAGTGAGGAAGAGGGGAAAAAAAAGCTTTGGGAAAAGAGATGGATTGATTTAGGTTCGTAAGGTGAATGAAAACGAGATCGGAAAGAAATCTGAATCCTGAATTGCGAGATCAGGGGGTTAAAAAGTGGGAAAGTTGAAGGCCATTCCTGGTGAAGGTTGGTCCTATCTTGCCTTTGGGCCTCTGGTCTGCGCAAGTCTTCCTTTCTCTACAAAGAGCTAAATTTCCTCACTAGATTCTGTGTGCTCAGCTCTTGAAATTTAATTTAATTTAATTTATTGGATTTATAGGCCGCCCAATCCCGGAGGATTTCGGGCGGCTTACACAGAACAAGAAAGAAAAACAAACAAAATAAAAATAAAGATTAAAATTCTCCAAC